CATTTGATGTAATAATAGAGTCGAAAAAACCGCTGTTCTTGGAGCGACGAAGAAGAATTCCGGCCATTGCCACTCGTGTTGCCTTGTTTGCGTCGCTCAGCTGGTGCGGCACCCGCTCTTCCCAACTTTTTTTCCCCAAAAAAGCAAAGTAGACATGGACAAAAATATATCAAAAGAAGCACAATAAAAATCTCTTTCTAATAGACAAAACTGTCTCCAAAAATCTTCTATAGTAGGAGAGAAAAAAATGGACAAGTTCAAAAAATTCAACGCGCATTCCTTTCCGGACAACCTAATATTTTCGGAAGCAGTGCAATTTTCTGTACGAACTGACCTTTTGAGAGATTCTTTTATATTTTTCGCGATATGCATCTAACCTGGCTGTAGGCCTTTCTCATTCAAAGTGTGCTTTCTCACTCCTTTCGTTTTGTCTCTTTAGACAGATAGAAAGTGATGTTTCTCCCCATCGCATAAGTTGCACCCTCTACTAGTACAATCCTTGAGAATGTGGTTAGCCCTTGCAGTTTCGACATCTTTTTTTCTGTAATCAAGAAGTCACTCCTTTCCTTTATTAAGCCGATCTTCCTTTCATGGGAAAAGTGTGTCAAATTGCAATAAAGGCACTAATGTTGGCATGTAGGTGGAGATTGGTTGAATTCTAAAGTGTTCTATTCCTGCTCTGGAACGTCTCACTGTTCTGGAGCATTCCCTTTATTTTTTCTTCAGTCGCAATAATCGAATCTAGTTCGGTAAGAAGGGTTCTCATTGACCAATCTTCTTCCGCTTGATTCGCACCTATGCGCTGCATGAGTACCTTTCTCTGAAGGTCTTGTTGAAATTTGGACAGTATCTTCTGCCCAATGAAGGAACCATTCAAATTGATTCCTTATATTCCAGCTGAGTGGATAGTGATATGATATAATCTAAGAGCTTTCTCTGGTCCTCTATGCTGGAACCTCTTGCTCTTGCTCTTTCTAGTCTCCCCTGCAAATGATTTACTAGCTTCGATTTGTCGCCAAATTTTGCTTTTATAGCCTTGATGGCTTCTTCGTAGTTCTCTTCCGTGACTGGGTATCTTCTTACCACTTTTCATGCTTCGCCTTCGAGGCTCCGCAAAAGTTATTCAAATTTCTGCAGGTATGAAAGTCTTTGATTATGGACATTCGAGCAGAGAAGGCCCAAATTCTCGAAGTCTCCGATTTTCCCTGTTAAAATGGGGAACTACTGGCGGTAGTTTTACTTTTGCACAAGAAAAAGCCTGCAACAGACTCCCACAGCCCGTGATTCATCTCTATTTGAGATGAATCACGGGCTGTGGGAGGCTGTTGTAACCGTACCTCGCGTCCAGGTTGTGTTTAGGCTGCTCGATGCACCATAAAACAGAGGGTATGCGGTGGTTCAGTGTGTTTTCGTGCAAGGCAACCTCTCAAACTTGGGTAATTGAACTTAAATGCATGCTCAGACAACAGCACGAATATAACGGAAACAGGTAACATTATCTTCTATGTAATGTTAGCAGCCACAAAAAATAACAGTGGCTTCAAGATAATAACCAGAATGAAAACTTAAGTTGAATGACCAACAATGTAACGAAAATGAGCAGAACAAGCAACATAAGCAAGGAAGTATAAGTAGAGCGAATAACATGAAAAACAATAAATGAACAACAATAATGTGAATATCGCAAATCCTGAATAGAGAGATGAAGATGAGTTCACTGAGTGTAAGAATGGTCGCAATAATCGCATGAAGAGACTACAGGCAATTAACTAGAAGAAAGCTGAGAAGAATTTACGCATCGCCATCGCAATCGCATAGTCGCAAATCAATGAGAGATTGAAAGGAAGGAGCACAGGAAAGAAGGAAAGTGCAATTTGAGAGCAGCTGGACTGCTCTATTTATAGCCTGTTTTCGGCGCGCTCCTCGCGCGATCGCGAGGATTTGATCCGCGGCTATTGATCTGTGATCAAGACGTCGCGGTATTTCCGCGATGTGGTTGGTATCAAGAGCTGGATTCATTGAGCAGACTCCGAAGATAACCTTCACCGGATCCCTCAAAGAAAAAAAGGCCTGCTTAGCCAAAAGCAGAAGTGCATGGAAGAAAACATTTCACTGTGTTATTGGTGGGACTTCAGAGCGATGTCACCGAATACTAGCACTGGCTCTGACAGCCACAGTTTACTCCAGTCATTTTCGGAACATGGATGACATCGCCTGCAGTTTCATTCAAAATATCAGTTTTTTCTTCACCCTCGACAACGCGAAGACCGCACCCAAAAGTTCATGGATACTGACCAGGGAATACGACCGCACCCACAATATTCATCAAACTTAGCAGACTCTTATTTGATTCCTACTGCACGTTTAGAGAGCAGAAATTCCGAAAATCAACATCTGCTCGAAAATGAGATCCATCTCTTCTTTTCATCAAGGTTGCCGTAGTTCTACAAAGGTGGAATCGAGAAGAATCAAATTTTGATCTATTTTCGCAGGACTTTCTTTCCAACCTAATGCACAGAACTGGAGGAGCTCTACAAGGAAGACTATACCTTCTTCAAGGCAGGGCCACGCCATCGTTGTGATAGTCACAACAGGGTGGAGGGGGGGGGTCGTATTTGAACGCGAGGGAAGGAGAGTGTTTTGAGCGCAGAGCCCTTTTCTGAAGTGGGGAAAGCAGCGATACTCAGATGTCGTACAGCTTCAATGATGAAAGACTTATGTGAAGAACACCTGAAGAGACTTCTGAAGAGAGAAGCAACCTGCAACCTCAGGAAGGAGCGATGACAGGAAATACGACCCAACGAGGATAGAAGGGAAAACGAGGACATACTACTGCCAACAACGACGTCATGAAGTAATAAACAGATGAAATTACGCTTCCATACCTTTATGATCGCAGGAGCACGTCTGGTTGCACGGAAAACCTAACCTTAACCAGAAGTTATACCTCCTCAATACCTCTGCGTGGAAGACGTATGGGCGCACTAATACCTCCTCAATGCCTCTGCGTGGAAGCCGTATGCATCGCGCACTATT